TCGTTAATCATTTATGGAGGGCTTTCATGAGGATATTAATGATGGCGTCCTTTGTTGTTGTTGTTTTCCAGGGGCCTTTGGGGCTAGAGGAGAGAAAGGCGACAGAGGAGACAAAGGAGAGAAAGGAGATAGGGGCCTCGCCGGGCCAAAGGGGGAAGCTGGCTCAGGCTCCAGCTCGGGGGGTGGAGTCCGTGTAGCCAAGGTTCGGTCGTATAATTGGAATGTACCCGTGTTGTTTTTTTTCGGTCTAAATGTCCCCCCCCTGAAGGTTGTAATAATGGGAACTGTGATATTAGACCTGCAAGAATGAAACAGTCAAAGCAACTCTAGAGGGAGAGCAAAGCCCAAAATATAAGGGTTAGGGTTAGGGTTATAGTATTTAGTACAGTATATCTAAACATTTGCATTATATACTTACTATCAGATGGGCAGCTGTGTGTGTCATTGCATGCATATATTGGGGCTAGACAATAAAATCATGGCAAAATGTAGAGATTCTCCTCAAATGAGGATGATCTTCTTAGTTTAGCTTTGATTTGGTTTTACTCTCAAAGAAAAACACAAATGTAACACACATGACAGGTTGAGTTCAGCTTAAAGTATACACTTTCAATATTATTATGTTGAATATTATGACTTACAATTACATTTCTAACCCAGCATTTGGGTCTGATTTGTGTAATTTAGCATATTTGATTTCCACTGACAACCCTCTAGGTGGTCTTTCAGCAAATGACTAATGGAACCACTTACGTCATTGCTCTTTTTGTCATTTTCAGGGGGAACCAGGTGAAAAGGGATCAAAGGTAAGTTACATGTAATCAATTTGTATAGTTTCGGATAGTGTATTTGATTTCTGTTGGCATGTTTCATCAGATATGTCCTATTCACATGTAATTTCAAGGCATAAGAGTGTTACAGAATGTAAACAACAAACTTTGCTACTGCTCTTTCATACAATTGTTCCACTGTAAAGATAGAGTTCTACATTAAAATCCAAGGTAATTGCCAATACGACCATTTAGAGACAGCAGTGTGAATAAAAGCTTCAAAATGTGAAGCTGATCACATCTTTCGGAACCAAGTTTTATCAAGCTAACTTTGAAAATTGATGAAGGTGCTCCATGATGACTGGAGAACATCACCCGAAATGCATAAAAACATGTTTAAAGCAGCTTGAGAGCGCACGTGAGCAGGGCAAACAAGTAGAAGATCTTGCAGAAGCAATTTTGAATTGAAAGAAGTCTATTTGTTAAGTTTTAATAGTAGAAGTTAATCTTCAACTTGGTCATATATATCTTTTTCTTAAATTATCTGGTTTGGCACACCACAAGATTTCTGATCATTGACCATTTGATAATGACTTTTGGATCAATTGGAAAACCTAAATAAAATGAAAAATTAAATGTCTAAGCATTTACGCTTTAGTTTCTGTTTTATCTGATCCTGTCCTTCCAGAGTGCTATGTAGAGCTTGAGGAAATCCGTAAAATCCTTGGTTTTCTGCACCACATTCTGCTTGTTATAGGTCTCCTTTTGGCTCCAACTGTGCATTAAAAGTCCATCTTGAGAACATCGGAGCCAACAAACTGTCAACAATGACGACTCTTTATCGTTGTCCAAGCAGCACAACACTTGAAAGATTCTGATTGGAAGGCTTTTTAAAAAATTTTTAGCAACCTTTCACATTTTTTCTACAGAATGAAACAACTCCCCTCAAAACATTTGTCATATGACACAGTCCCTTTCTAAAAGAGAGATTATATTTATTGGTAATATTGATTCAGTGATTGGTTATCTATCAATAATATTGAAATGTACTGCTCAGAGGGATGATGCCAGTGTGTCTCAGGTTTAAAAGGCTTTTTGTTTTTCTTCCTGTCTCATCATGACCTCATCAGGGAAGTGCAGGCTTTGGATATCAAGGAACAAAGGGGGAACCTGGAGTTCCTGGACCTCCTGGGCCCCCTGGCCCTCCAGGTCCTTCAACTGAGTACTCAGTTGAAGGTGACGGATCCGTTGTTTCAAGAGTCCCTGGACCCCGAGGACCACCTGGGCAACCTGGCCCTAAGGGAGCACCCGGAGATGATGGCGAGCCAGTGTGTAGATTTTCCCTTTTGAAATATTGTTTTCTTAAAAAAAGAAGAGCATTCATCGTTTATTTGCTGTATTTTCACAGGGTGATCCTGGTGAAGATGGAAAAACTGTGAGTTCCTTTCTATTTAAGTTCATTACCAATTATATCTAAATAATATCAGAAACCTCTCCAACAACATGTTGTTGAGGTGAACACATGTTGCTTAGCTTTTAGCAACGATGCTGCATTTTCTACTGTCCTAACTTTTTTTTTTCTACGCAGGGTCCTCAAGGACCACCAGGCTTCCCAGGAACTCCAGGAGACCCTGGATCCAAAGGAGATAAGGTTAGACACATGTCGGGAGTTTAATTTTTTATGGGATAACTTTGCAGTAGAGATAGCCCGTCGTAATAAAACATGTTCCTTAGGGAGACAAAGGAGAAGGTCAGCCCGGGCCCAGGGGACCCCCAGGACCTCCGGGACCACCAGGATCAGGTTTCAGATCTGTGAGTTCACCATCATCGCAACCACAAGCTACCTAATGTTGAGATATAATTCATTACAGCAAAATACTACAACTGCTTTTAAATTCTGTGTTTCAGACCTTTATGGACATGGAGGCCTCTGGATTCCCTGATATTGAATCAATTCGAGTAAGACAACCTAAAATCCTCAGTCATCTGTCACACATTTAGTAACGCAAGCAGCATCTTTGTTTCCATCATATGTGTGAAAGTTTGTTCTGAAGAAGCTGAAGATCAATTGTCTTTGATATAGGGACTTCCAGGGCTACCAGGTCCTCCGGGCCCCCCCGGACCTCCTGGTCCTTCCACAGCCGGCACAGCACTCAGCTCTGGAGCATTCGGACCTGCAGGCAAGGATGGGGCAAATGGTCAACCTGTAAGTGCCAATGCTTTAGTATCTGAGCATCTCTAACCGGTAGTTACACTAAACCTTCAAAATGCCTTAATAATAATAAGATACTAATATCTAACTAAATCAAAAACCAACAAGCAAATCTCTTGAACTTTAGGGCTTGCCTGGTTTACCTGGTAACGATGGTCTCCAAGGACTTCCTGGACCCAAGGGAGAAAAGGTATAGTTGTGTAAAAATGATTGTTAAAAATGATTGTTTAAAGATTAACCAAATGTCATTTTCAACACAAATTCGAAACTTAAACCACAAAGAGTCTGACTTTCAAGATAAAAAACCTGATACCTGTTGCCTGAGCATTGCCTGACACAAAATGTCAAAACCAAACCAGCACACAGTTAATGAGCTTCCTTTTTAACTGGGATGGAGAGATTTGGAATTGTTCTGGATCACTTTAAAGAAAGTTCATTTTGACTAACTGAAACTACAGTCACATCGCAGCGGTTATTGTTTGTTGTTCTTCCATGTGCATTCATGAAGTGCAAGAAAGACCATGAAAATTAAATGAAAGTGACAATGACGATGAAAAAATTTAAATAAAAATGTAATAAGTTTAGAAATAAGCTTTTGGGCTGGAGGTGGGTTGCACTGCAGTTTGCCCAGTATAACAGGTGGGCTATAACATTTTTATGTTTATGCATTTAGCAGACGCTTTTATCCAAAGCGACTGACAAATTAATTTTACAGTTAGCATCAACATGACAATAAGTTCTCTAGAGGAAAATCCCTAGTCAGAATCGGTGGTGGCAGCAAGAGAGAGAGAAGGAAGTGCAGAAAGAGTAGTAGATGGGTACAGTATGGGTAAGAGTCCGGATAAGAGATACTCTTTGAAGAGGTGTGTCTTTAAGAGTTTCCTAAAGATAAAAAGGGACTCTGCTGTTCTTGTAGCGCTTGGTAGGTCATTCCACCATCTTGGAACAACACATGAAAACAGTCTGGATTGTCTTAACGTGATGTAAGCACTGCTAGACAACAATCCGTTGATGACCGAAGTGACTGAGTTGTGATATAAGCCTTTGCAAGAGGGTTCAAGTAGACGGGAGGGTACCCTTAAGCACTTTGTAGGCTAGCATCAGGGACATAACTTAGGACAGATTCTGTGTGGCATGGAAAAAGCTTCAAATGTGAGTCAAAGTAGTATTGATTTAAGGTACATAGTGATGAGATTAACACAAAGAATTGTTTCAATTGTGTTCTGATTTTAAAAATAAAAGTCTGTCATTTCTTTTTTTGCTTTCATCAGGGTGATTCAGGCGCGCTTGGTCTCCCAGGAGCCATCGGACAAAAGGTAAAATTTCGGTTTTTGTTTTGCTCCATTCTAAATTGAAGACGCTAACCCAGAGCAGAATGCAGAATGACTTTTAGCTCGTCTTTTGGAGACAGCAGTTTATCTGATCATATTCTGAGAGGTTAAAAAGATGGTTTACCATACAAGTTCCCACCCCAAAAGAGTACGCTTGCTTTCTTGTTGCAAGAACAATGTAATGATTAATCAAAAAGAAGCACGTGTCCTCCATCCACATTTCTTAAGCTTTCCCTGTACTTGTCATTTCTCCAGCCAAGTTTCTACTTTTCTTTTCTCACCAATCTGCTGCCTCGCTATATATCCTCCTCTCCTAAGCCTTCCCATCCGCAGGTAACCAGGCTCCAGTGTGTCATCCTTCTAAGAGGATTTGTGTCTTCTAACTATATGCAAATGTGTTTCAAATATTGTCAACCAAAGACGTAACTCACAGTCTAATCTGAGTGCTGCCCATGGTTTTCCGTTAGTCTTTGGTGATCTCTGACTTTGCTCCCACAGAAAAAGCATGAGTGTGTGTGTGTGTGCACAGGAGGTTTTTTTTTATTAAACATTTTATTAAAACCCGATTGACCTGTACTCATTGTGTAAACTAATGCTGGGAAGTGGTAGTTAGGAGCAAAATACAGAGCTTTCCTCTGAAAATAGAACATACAGAAACATTTTGGATTTTTGTTTTTCTACAGGGAACTCAAGGAGAACCTGGTTTACCAGGACCACCAGGAGAGACTGGGCTGGCTGGATTGCCGGGACCAATGGGACCAGTTGGGCGCCCTGGACCTCCAGGACCTCCAGGCCCAGGCTACCGTGTTGGATTTGTGGGTTTACTGTTACACTTTGAACACTTACAAACATTTATCAGAATTTCTCATTAGAGAAATACCTGCTGCAAGAACTGAAGTTTCTTTAAAGTTTTGATGGAGGGAGAAAAACATCTAGAAAAGACACTAGAGAGTTTAAAAATGAGATCACACCCAATAATATTAGTTTGGCTTTTGGCAAACATGTGAAATTCCTTCTGTCTGATGTCATAGTTTCACCTGCGATAATGGTCAAGTATGTCTTCGGGCTGGGCCAAACCAGTCCCTACCTGTTGTCCACTTGATTTATTGTTCTAGGGGTCACAACCTGCTTTATTTTATCATAAAACTTTTACTTCTCGTGTCTTACTAGGTGTTTTCATGATCCACTGTGCATTTTGTTTTCACAATACATATCGATGAGTTAAATGCAGAAAAGTTCAATCATTTTGGGATATTTACAGAAAGATTCAGACATTCAGAAATGCTTGACAGTTTGTTGTGAATTTCTTTTTTTTTTCTCAGGATGACATGGAGGGGTCAACTGGGGGTCTTCCAGGTATCAGAGGACCAGAAGGAGTACAGGTACCCACTCTCTTACTGGCAAGGGGTCCAATTAAACCTGAAATATATATCTTAAGAACTCAAAAGTTACTTCTATCAATCAAGCCAAGGATTATTAAAATAATTTGGGTAATGGTTCTATCATACAGACTGCAATAGGTGCTATTGTTACTTTTAAAAACATTTATTTTTTGTGTACATTTTCCATATGTTTGTGAGTATTTTACTATAACTGCTCACGTGTGCTTTCAGGGTCCCCCTGGCTTACCTGGACACCCTGTAAGTATATATATATATTTCCCAAACCCATCCATGCCCCACCTTCACAAACTTTTATTCCGGAATTGAGAGTAAAATAAGAAAATAAGCAACATGTAGGATTTAATGACATATTGCAGTTAAACTGGAACATATCTCGTCTTCCCAGTGTGTATTATTGCGGATGTGAGCGAGGAGCATGTAGATTGTTTGGTTCCCAATAAACTTCATAGGGAGTATGGCTGACAGATGCTGAAATTGTGTCCACGACAAAACTTGCGTTTTTCTGTTTATTTAAAATCCACTTCTTACTTTTTTCAGTTTCCTCACAAGTTCTAAAACAGTCCCAACATGGTCAAAAAAACTTGTGCTCCTGTAGCTCTCATGCCTTTCAAAATAAAACTTACTAAACTTTTATGCAAGTAACAAAATAAAATACAGACGTCTCACATAATAATAAATAATTAACCAAATTGCCTTTAATTAAACCTGCTATTAAATCAGCAGCCATATATTTCTAATGAAATTAGAAAGTTACCTCAAGTTAGACTCCCAGATTTTCTTTTAACCGTTCCCTTTGGGGGGATCAAAGGTCAGACAAAGATCAGACTTCTGAATATGGTGTAATTTGAATGTCTCTGTTTAGGGTAAACCTGGCCTACCTGGCTTGCCGGGTCCAAAGGGAAGCGAAGGATCCTCAGGAAAAGATGGTCAACCAGGCCTGGATGGCTTCACTGGACCTCCGGTAACAAAACAAACTATTCTGAATTAGGATTTAAGCGATAGATAACTACCAGGTGTTACAGTCAGACGTTTGAGACATATTATTAAGCCGACATGTTGGAGGTAATTATTGATGTTAAAAGATACCAGTATGCTGAACGTTCATCTTAGTTAAAGTATTTTCATCTCACTTCATTCTTACAGGGGCTAAAAGGTGTCAAGGGTGACAGAGGAGACAGGGTGAGCACCATTTTGTATTGTGAATTCATTTGTATCACATGATCAAGGTAATATTTTAGTATAGTGTAACAGACTGATCCAGCCCCAGGTTGTTAAATCTGACTTCACATTCCCTTGTTGTAAGCAATTGTCACCGTTCTGTCGTAGTAATGTGTTGGTTTGGCTTCGTTACAATGCCTATTTAATGAGACATATGTTTTTTACTGTGTTAGGGTGAACCAGGTCGAGATGGAACTGGACTCCCAGGCCCACCGGGTCCACCAGGAGAACCAGGGCAAATCATCTATCGGAATTCTAATGATGTGAGTGACAAACATATTGTTTGTGTTTCTATCAGATTTTTACTTTAGCTAATGATGTCATGATAATAATGTCTGTTGCTCTAACTCTACAGTTTGATGCTGTTTCTGGTAGAGCCGGCCCTCAGGTAGGTCACTCATTTTACTCAGTAAAGCTTCCAAAATAATACAAAACATGTCTGCAACTTTTCACATTACAATTAGATGGTAATGCTGACATTTCATTCTGATGGGTGGCATTTTAGAAGTGGCACCCGACATAATTTCTCAGCATTGTCCCGTTTTCACATGTAGCCACTTCTGACAGAACCTTTTTTTTGGTTTATACAAAGCTGGAACTCTAATTTTAAAGCCACATTTGTGTTTTCCATTATAGGGTGGGGCAGGTCTACCGGGTAGAGCTGGATTTCCTGTGAGTATCCTTTTCCCTAATTGCTAGATTTATAATACCTTTTCTTATCATAATCTCTATAGCTTAACACTTCCGTGTTAAATTTCAACCCTCATAAGGGTCAAAGATGAGATCAGGTGCAGTTCTCATGTTCTGAAATCTTAAACACTCTGAGTTCCCTCAGACCATTCATTCCAAAATTCCTTCAAAGACAACATGCACTATTTGTCTGCGGCTGTTTCATTGACTATATTAACCCTTTGTCTAGGTCTATTCGTCATATTTGACAAGAATGGTGTGAAGTGCTATCAGAGATATGCCTCAGAATTGAGTTTTAATAATGAAAGCTGACTTTTTTTAAAAACTTGATTGCATTCTGTGGATTCGGAAAACTTAAATGACCAGCAGTTCCACAACATTGCAGTTCATCCTAATATCAAAACAAAGGTCACTTTTCAACAATTGATCATCTTTTCGGTATAAACAGAGATTCATTTTCTTGTTAGTTCTGGTAGCTCTAGTTTCTAATCGGATCAAGTGTTTCCTCTTTCCAGTTGACGTATTTTTTTTCTACATTTATTTATTTATTTATTTAATCAGGACAGTGCACATTAATGAACAATCTCAGATTTACAGATTGTAAATGAGCCAGATTATAGCATAGTTGCTAGTTTACATCTGTCGTCCTGAGGCAGGAAGATCAAACAACACAAAATCACAAAATACAAAATCAGTCCAAACACACGTTCAGACAATGACATTACAAAATTAAAATTAATTATATTCAATTCAATTTCATTTATATAGTGCCACATCACAACAACAGTTGTCTCACAGCGCTTTCCGAACAGAGCAGGTCAGACCCTACTCTGAAGTTAATTACAGAAACCCAACAATTCCCACCATGAGCAAGCACTTGGCGACACAGGCAAGGAAAAACTTCCTTTTAACAGGCAGAAACCTCGGGCATAACATGTTTTACTGTGTATCTAACAGGGTCCTATTGGTCCAAAGGGTGACCGAGGTGACCCTGGTCCACCGGGTTATGCAGAGAAGGTACATATTAATTATTTTTTACAACTCCCAATAAGGCTGTTAATTATCATGATGACATCATCTGTTTTCACGTCTCCGGCTGTGTGTCCAGGGTGAGAAAGGTGAACCGGGTTTGATAGTTGGACCCGACGGAAACCCTCTGTATCTGGGAGGCCTAACTGGTCCAAAGGTCTGTCTTTTTTATCCCTTCAAGTCCCGCCTTTTGTTTTCTGCTGCATTTGTACTGGATGCTGATCATATGGTTCATCTCTGTAGGGAGACCAAGGATATCCAGGACCTGTTGGACCACCTGTAAGTCTTGTTTTTCCAAGATCATTATGCAAATACACTGAAAATAAAATAAAAAAAACACTTCTGAAGTTCCATTGTTCATTTCATTTTGATGTTTTGCAGGGTCCATATGGACCTGCCGGAATAAAGGGTGAAATTGGAATGCCTGGAAGACCTGTAAGTGTCCATTTGGTGGTGTTTTTTTGTTTTTTTGCCTTTTATGCTTGTCTATTCTGACTCCTATATGAATTGTCTGTCTTACAATACATATTTTGCTCATCGACTCATGCTGATTTGTTGGGCTGTGTATTTCAAAGTACAGATAAAAACAAATAAGTATTTTTTTTTCTCTTCAGGGTCGCCCTGGTGTAAATGGTTACAAGGGGGAGAAAGGAGAGGCAGGAGGTGGCTCAGGCTATTCCGTAAGTATTAAAATAATTGACAATACCTAATGGAGGCAGTCTTTTTGATGGTAGATCGCGGTAAAGACACTTAAAGTTTACCTCTCTACTCTGTGACAACAAATCATTTCACAGTATACAGTATATCCTGCCCTTCAAAAAATTAATATTTATCTATTACCATGAGCATTAAAAATATGCAAATCTGTCATAATTACTTTGTTAATTTGGTCTAACCTTAATTTTATATTGGGATTCTGATTTTAAAGCACTTTAAAAATAAAGTTGGTTTGGCTGGGGTAGCGTTGTTGTGTTCCCAGTACTTTTTTGCCTGTTTGGTCACATTTTTGTTTCGGAAATTGATGATTATTTTTGGGGAATTTTGCGGATTGCATTTAATTAGAAGGTGAAATTACAATAGGTTTTGGGTTGCGACAGAAAACACAACACTTTCTGATACTGATTTGAAATCCACCAATAACTACTTCTTTATTATTGTGACAGCGGCTCATATTGAATGAGATTATTATCCTTCACAAAGCTGACCTGCAAAGACCCCTTTAAAACCAAGGCTAATAATAGTTTGAGAGTTTAGAAAGGAATTCGGAGTAATCTAATTACAGACTCCGTCATGCCGGTGATATTACCGTGCACATGTCCACTAACAGGAAAATACTGAACATAACTGTTGATTATGGTAGGTCTTCAGGGAGATAGTCAATACTCCAACAATATTGAAGCCAAACACATAAGGCTCTTTTATTATTAAGACTGATGAAATCAAAATAAATCTTCTTTGTGTGTAACAAAAACAACTCTTATTGAAATGCTTAATTTTCCTTTAAGAGCCCCATGCTATTTATGACACATGGTGGAAGGGGTTTCATGGCTTTTACGGTTTTTGCTGAATTTAAACCGGAGTTATTTGATAAAACCTATTAATTTAATTGCAATATACTTATTTATTCAGGAGGAAATTATAAGGAAACGGGCCGTGCTGAGAAAAGGCTGATAAGCACGTGTCTCATTTTATCAAAATATTGTTAAAGTATAACGAGGTGAATGTTTTGGCATGGCAAAATTAAAGACCATATTGTCATAAAGATGCTGTGGAAGGACCTGGAGGATGTGTTCATATGAGGAAATAACCCAGAGCTTAAAGTGTTCTGTAAGGAGTGGTTGGCTAGCGTGGAGCTTTGCAATCATTTTGTCAAAAAGCACATCAAACAACATACCAAATAATAAACAGTGAAAAAAAAAGTAACACGTGTGACAATTTTGTCTCTTCATTTTCAAATAATTCTGAATACCTCAGAAATGTACACATACCATAATTGGAAAACATGTATTCCAAAGTCAATTGTTTCCTCACAGAGTGCAACTTTATCCACTGTACTGTCATTTTAAAAGCGTTCTTGCCACTTCAATATTCAGTTTTACTGCATCTTAACACTGTATTTTCATTAGGTGGTCCCTGGCCCACCAGGACCACCTGGGCCACCTGGACCTCCTGGGCCTGGCAGCACTTTAGACCGCTTCAATGTGAGTATACAAGAGTCAAATTTCCTATTCTGAGCCAAATTGTTAAAATAAATGATAACATTTTAATTTAATGTATTTGATCTACATTGGCCTAAATATGTTCTTCTTGTTTTTATCTGTTACCTAGCGCTATGATGACGCTTCAAGAAATTATCCAGGTATGATGCACAAACATCCAGAGTTTATCGTCATAGTGCCCAAACAGAAATACAGCATGAAGGAAATCAGTTTGTTTTTAAAAGTCAATGTGATAAAGCAAAAGAACAAAAAGGGCTGCAGATGTCTAGAAATTCCAACCTGAAAATCTCCATCTAAAGCTTGTACCAGAAAATGGGTTCAAAATAAAGGCATCCACAGTGTCTTTAGGTGGTCAGACTAAACAGACCATCATGAACACGCACTGACAATAGATATGTTGTAGAATGGAGATAAAAATGCTGTTGAATTATGCATGTCCAGTTAATTTGAATTTTTAATTTGAGTTTTTTTCAGTTTCTATCAAATCAATCTAAGATAAAATAAACATGCAATTTGAAACTATGGGGAACAATCTAATTTGTTCTCTTTGCACCTCATAGGCCAAAAGAGCTCACATGAGAATGACTTATAATTGGGCTTTTCTTTCCAAATATGAATTCATTTTCAATAATCCAGGATGTAAAATCTTGAGCTAAGGGAGTTAGTAATCATTGATTTAACATATGCCGATGGCTTACTGTCTCCCAAAACGTAACATGGTAACCAGTTTTATGAAAATCCAGAACTGAACCTGAACATGCACGTTTAACATGCACTATGATATTGTCATGTGTTTTTTGCTACAGTGATCAAAGGGGAAAAAGGAGATCATGGTGATCCTGGACTTCCAGGGATTCCGGGTAAGCATGCACACATTACCGTTTGAAGGGTTTTATATGCTGTCCATTGGGCTGGATTAGTTTGTTTGATTAATTATTTTTCATCCTCTTTTTTAGGACAAAGCTTCAATATTGATATTTCAACATTCAAGGTGAACTAGCTCGTCACTTTCCCACTGGTTGGGTTTCCGACTATTCGTCTAATCATTAAATATTTTCCATAAAATGGCCTAAAGGGAGACCGTGGAGACACAGGTGTCAAGGGAGATAAGGGGGAGCCTGGTGGTGGATATTATGACCCTCGTTTTGGCGGACTTCAGGGTCCACAGGGACCACCCGGCATCCCTGGATTACCTGTGAGTTTTGACAGCAATAAATTGCTTAACATTCAAAGATCCACTTGTTAAGGCGACACTGCTCTGTCATCAATTCCTATTTTCTTGTTAGGGTCCAAAAGGAGACTCTATAATGGGCCCTCCTGGACCCCAAGGACCTCCTGGGGAACCAGGGGTTGGTTACGATGGACGTCCAGGTCCTCCAGGACAGCCTGGACCTCCAGGACCACCAGGGTCATTTCCTGGCGTATACAGACCCAATTACCGTAAGTCTCATGTCTCTTTTTATCTGTGCCTAAAAATTCAGAAGTGGTTTCCTTTACACTATTTTACAATACCTATGGGAATTTTGATATTAAATTATTCTCTAAAAGGATCTGTAAAATCAAATAGAGACATAAAACCAGTTGTTTGGTGTCATTTTCCATACTATGTAACACACAGGGTTTAGTAAATTGGCGGTGATTCTCTCCTTCAGTTCCGTTTCTTTCACAGTGACTGAGAATAGTCTCTTAATACTAAAGTGTGTACTGATGTGACAGCATTTCTGAAATTCTGTACCTTTTAATAATCAGTATGGCGTGCAGTATTTTTGTCAATCAGTCAGACAAACAGTAAAATGTACAAAATTAGCACAAACAAACACCTAAAAGTGGACCAATTTACAACCCCAGGTCAAAATAAAGTTGTCTCAAATGGAAATTAAGATCAGAATGCAATGGATTATACTGATGTTGCTCAAAGAATGTACTTTTACACCCAGAAGTATTATAATATTTTTAAGGAGATCACATTTTGGAGATGAACAGAGGTTCCACAAACAGAGAGGACAGAACAAATGCCACTACATTTAAAACTGAGGAATGGGAATAAAATACAGAAAATGTACAGTGAAATTCTGTCTGACCCTGAAGCGTTGTTAAATAAAGACATTCTGATAGTCATTCTGACAGTAAACCCGAAAGCAACATTATATAAACTCTGACATTGTGATGGTCGTGATTATGGGCAAAAAAAAAACACGTTTTATTTTGTTTCAATCCAAAGCTGTCAGTGTTCCTGGACCCCCGGGCCCTCCTGGTGCACCTGGCAGTCCTGGTGTCTCCTCTGGGGTAAGTGTCACTACTGCATTTTATTTTGTTCCGTGCACTGATGTGTGCCCTTGCTTAAACATGTTTGTTTTTTGTTTTTTTTCCCTTACAAAATGAAAAAGCTAACACATTGCTCTTTTGTTTCTAAAGGTTACAGTCTTAAGGTCGTATGAGACAATGATTGCGACGGCCAGACGACAGGAAGAAGGCAGTCTTATCTTCGTCCTAGATAGGGCTGACCTTTATTTGAGAGTCCGCGATGGGCTACGACAAGTTATGGTACAGTTGTTTGCATCATGAATATATCAGGCTTTGAATTCTGCCTTACAGGACCAAATAGATCCATACTAAACAATTACAACATTCTAAAGTTGTATGTGTGTTCTTTGATATTTTGACATTATTTTTTAGATTTTAAATGAAAAGTTATGAGTTTTTTTCATGTATTAAAAGTTAATTTCCTTCCCTCAGCTTGGAGAGTACAGTCCTTTCTACAGAGATTTGGTGAGTATTGCAGAAAATAAGACAGATTAAACATTGTTTTGCTATTCACGGAATTATAACACCGTAATCTTTTTGTTTTTCGTGTCAAGGAGAATGAAGTGGCCGAGGCCCAGCCTCCGCCCGTAATTCTATACCCCCAGTCTCAGGACCAGTCCCAGAACAATGGAGCGGGCCATTACTCCCAGGGCAGCCCCGTCATACAGCCCATTGAGCCCCCGCCTGCTGTGGACCCCGGATACCCGCCACAGTACGAGCCCAGATTCCCCGAGCAAACGTACCCGGGTCAGACCGATGGAAGATTAACCAGCCAGCAGGCTGAAAACAGATACCCCGTCACTCCACAACAGCGACCCAACCCACCCGTACCGGGGCCTTTTGGTCCAGTAGAGACATCAGGATCAGGGGTGAGAGAAGACAATATATTGAATATCTTACAGATTACCTCATTAGTTACAAAGTCCCAAGGACCTTGAGGTAATTAATGAGGTAATGAGGTAACAATATATAACAATACATAACTATATATAATATACAGAGACCTCTATGTACAAGAACTCATTCAGAAATTTGCTAAGCCTGTATAGGTGCTGTTATGATTTCATTCAAATGTGTAAAAACCACCTTTTAAATCACACCTCTGCGTCCCCTCCCTGCTCCGAAACACCATTACCGGAACCGTGAGAGTAAACATTAATCCTTCAACATTTTACACTGGTTAGGAATGGCCTCCGGAGGGGAGGGAGAGCGTGTAGGTGTTGAATTGTTTGCCTCTACAGCTCTGTGTGGAGGCTGTGTGTTTGATCAGCTCACAGCCATGAATCCCTAGTACTTTGGTATTATGTTCTATAGGATCAGGAAGGAGCTAATTCAAAGTTTTTCAAATTCTTTTATATTTTTTATCTAGTTTTATAAACATTTAACTGTAAAAATGCTGATGTAAAGCAGAAATTCTGTGTATTTTCATATATGATGATCATATGAAAAAGATCATTGTCTAATAAATACCCACATTAAAGAAAGGTTCCTGTGGTAATAATGGTAATATGAATCTTTTTTTTCTACCCACCCTTCGTTAGCTCCATCTCATTGCCTTGAACGCCCCTCAAACCGGGAACATGCGAGGGATCCGCGGCGCAGATTTCCTCTGCTTCCAGCAGGCTCGGGCGGCAGGTCTGAAGGGAACCTACAGAGCTCTCCTCTCCTCCAAGCTCCAGGATCTCTACACCATCGTCCGCAAGTCGGACAGGGACAGCATCTCGATTGTAAACCTCAAGGTTAGACATGACCAAAGGGACAGTCGCCTTTTTCAAGTGCTGGATCAAAAACATTTTTCTCTCAGTAGTGTTTTTTTTTGTGCTTTGTTTATCCCAGGTGTCTCCTTTTGTAAATCTTGCTTATGTATGAATGGCATTTAGACAGTAAGAATTAAATGTAACACATTGTTTTCTTTCTTTTCCTTTCAGAACCAAGTGCTGTATAGCAGTTGGGAGTCTATCTTTGGCGATAATGCCAGTAAAATGAGGGAGAACGTACCCATCTACTCCTTTGATGGCAGAGACATCATCAGGGACAGTGCATGGTAGGTCTATGTCAAATAAGATGAACTTAAAAAAAAAAAACTCATACATTTCGGCCATTTTGTAAAATGAATTGCTATATAAACTTGTAAGTGTGCTATGAAAATGAACAGATGATAGAGCTTCACCAGTACTAACTAGTTCCCAAAATGACCGCAATTGAAGAGATATCAGTGTGAATGTTAGAGAGGAGAAAGACAAAAACAAGTTTGAGGAACTTTGAACCTTCCTTCATGTTGATGCAGAAAAGCGCTATCGCTAGCTAATGGAACGGATACGTTTAACACATTCCTAAGGACAAAGCAGAGTGTGTGACAGACTACATTTATTTAAGTGCAGGGATGTTTTTTTCCCCAGTGGAAAGTCTGAATCACCAGATCAACAGAACTGGAAAAAAATACCCTAAACGTGAAGGAAAAAGCCTTCTTTTTGAGGAGGAGTTTGAGAGATGTTCCAAAACAGCTGAACAAGAACATTGTAGACAACAAGAATTTCTACAAAAAAATAAAAAATAAATATTAGAAAGCAAGTTAAGAGGAGAGGTGGTGGAAGTCTACAAATTACCTGACAGACTAGATTAAAAACATAACACTAAGGCTGTCTATGAGCATTGACTGTCCATAATTCAGGAGAAGGTTTAACTTCTTTAGTGTTAGCTGTAAAGTGTTATCTTCTAACATTTTTAGGATGTATGTGTTTGTGATGGTAGTTAGCATTGCTGTTGTCTTTTGGCTTGGTAGCTTTAGAGCCACAAATTTAAATTTAAATACATTAAAAAAACTGAACGAAAATGCCCAGGACTCCTCATATGCACCTGGAGCTGCACAAGATAATCAACACAATGGACAAGAAAGCACATAATCTACATATCAGACTAATGAACCTTGTGCTTGTGAATAATTTTTCTGAGTCACACACCAAACAACCCACCATGACATCAGTATTTCCCTAATAGCGTTTTCTATGATTTCACTTCAGTTCTCTTAGCTTTTACTAATTAAAACAGACATGTAAAACAGACATATTAGCTATCTTTTTGGTCACAGTTTATTTGCTGATTTGCCGTTGTGTTCTGTTCCCCTTTCAGGCCCGAAAAGATGGTCTGGCACGGGACGAGCAGCAAGGGCCACCGAAAAACAGACCACTACTGTGAAACGTGGCGGGCGGGCGACCGCGCAGTGACCGGTCTGGCGTCCTCGCTGCAGAGCGGTCAGCTCCTGCAGCAGTCCCCCAGAAGCTGCTCGGGCTCCTACGTCGTCCTCTGCATCGAAAACGCCTTCACGTTGCCCTCCAAAAAATAAAATCCAGTCCATCCTTCTAGTTTGTTTTCTGTGCGTTCTGGGCCCTAGTTAAAAAAAAATTTTTTTTAATGATTTTTTTTTTTTTTTTGGTCAAATATCCCAGTAACACAGCTTTTGAGCGTGTGGCATGTAGTGACCAGGCCCTGTGGCACATTGCCCGGCAGAGACCTCCATAAATGCCAAAGAGATGGGTCAAACAGCAGAGTGCCCATATTCTCGGGGGCATCGGCACATATTTTCTCTTCAAAGAAAAGAACAGCAGCAGATATGCAAGAAGATATGAGCATTTTCATATTATATCACTTTTTTTTTTTTTTTATTCTGTATTTTACAGGTTTGTCATGTGTTTTTTTGTTTGTTTTTTTTTTCGTTGTGATCAATGTTTTACCTTTTGGAACTTTTCGAAAAAGTATTTTTTAAGCAACTTCTTTATTTTGTTTTTTTCTAGGTATTGACGTTTTCCTATTTTTCCAGTTTCAGTGTAGAATTTGGGGTTATAATGGGATACCGCAAACTTTTAAGGAATATTCAAAATTTTTAAATGATAATAGATATTTATTTTTAGATGAAATTATGTAAGAACGACAAAAACGAAAATTTGAAAGAATACCCTCATTTATTTTCTACACAACAAAGATGTTTCACTTTTATTGAAAAGTCTTTGATCAGAAACTGTGCCTTATCACACACTTGTTTTTTTTGTTTTTTTTAAGTAGTAAGCTCATATTGTGAACTATTGTAAGATTTTATACACTATTCTGCCGATATAGAAATGTTACAGCCTTATTCTTCAAATGCGTTCAGATGCTGGTACCTTTGGACTCAGATGTTAATGTAAAAATAATCAATAATCATTCGCATTCAGGATTCCTTTACCACGTGATGTAACCTGTCCATTTGTAAGCTGGAAACATTTCATCCGCTGCCAATATTTGTGAGCGTGAACGTCTTGAGTGTTGGGGGCAGGGAAAAAAAAAACTATGTCTTTGCAGTTGCCCTCCAATCAGTTTCAGACATGTTGTCCTATGCTTTCACCTTTAGATATGATTTTATTTTAATTTTTTTAAACAAACTGCAATGTACTGTTTCATCCAGGCACTGAATTAAAGACTTTTTACCAACAGTAATGTGATAAAGTACTTGGAGTGTGTTTAATTCTTCAGTCATTCATTAATAAGCTCCTTAACACCTTTTACAAAAGCTTTCATGACCCTTTGATTTAGTGTTGCACTCTAGGGAAGTTTCTCATAGCGTTGACTTACAAGACAGCAGTAGTATTGATAGTAATATGTGCAATTTTATTTCATTTTTTATTAGCTCATTTAGGTTTTTTACTCTCATTTTCCACAATTCTTTCTCAGCTTAAAAGCCAGAAATGATGGTATTGACAATTTTTCACCTTAAAAAATCATTTTATTTTAATCATTTCAATTTTACATATAGATATGCATATATATATGAGTTGTAACCCTCACAATTGGTGAAAAAAGGGGCACCTGCATACATTCCAAACTAAAATAAGGAGTGGTCATATTTTAAAAGGAAATGATTATTCTATGATGGCTTCCCTGGTAACTTTATGTAGGTGACATTATGTTGCAGATATATTTTTGCCGTATCAAAAATATATCAGCTGCTCAAAAATAATTTGTGCCTCCATCATTTAATTACATTTTTTTGGCCTTCCATCCCAGAGAATGACACTGATCAAAGACCCGTATAAATGTAGATCCATTTGCCTCCTGACATGACGCTTTATATATCACATATATACACATTTTATGTTGGCTTCATCAAGAACAGATCATCTGAAAAATGCAAATGTAGTACGAAGATATCTGAAAGCAGATAGTTAAGTTTTAGAGAGTAGTGATGACAAAAATTTGAATTTTACAAACGTTGTTAACTGACCTCTTAGAGTATAATGTACCAAATAGGCTGTTGTTCGTCTTAGGTTATGTATAGATTCTGTTAAGAGATTTTAAGGTTGAGGTAATTATTCACAGTCTGATTTGCAAAAAATTCTGAAACGATGCACTTTCTTTTGTCATGAGATTTTTGTGTGTACACAACTTTATTTTTTGTTAATTTCCCAAGGTGGTGCTCTCTCTAAGGCCTTTTCTGGAGTTCCAGAGGAGCCTTGTTGGGTGAATTGATGTTAACTTGCAGTTTATTATCAGAAACTTTCATAGGTTCTTTTGACTCTTTAAACTTAGCCGTAATAGGTTTAAAGTAAAATAAAAAAAAAAAAATAGTGTCTAGTTATATAACAAATTCTACAAGAGAAATTGCATAGAATATAGAATAATTCTGTTTATTTACATCTTTCTGTCTCTAACATCTATCTGCATTTGGGTCCTACGTTCAACTGACCATGCTAAGATTCCAAACAGTGTTTTTTTTTTGTGAGTATCAACATTCAGCACCCAGCGTGATACAAACCTGGTCAAAGCATTAACTCGTAAATCTATGCGGAAGTACAGAGCAAGAGCAAAACATGACAAAAAAAGAGCAAGATAAATATTTTAAGCTTTGAGAATTAGGTCATCTTGAAAGAAAATGTGCCTTTGAGAGAACTGTGACCGTAAAGAGGTACATTCTCTTTAAACTTTGAACACTATCTGTTCATCTCATTTTTATTTACCATCCGCCTCTTTTACTTTCATCTTCATTCTTATCTTCCTATGCTTTTTTCCATCTTTCTCCAAGGGCTATCATACATGCAATCTTTGACATCTTGCTATGAAATTGTGGCTGTCCCCTCCCTCGAACTATTGTTTGAAAACACAAGTGTTTTTTCTACATAAAGTGTACACATTTTTGGTATTGTAGAAATGTAAAGCTGATGTCTGGTGACTTCGGAAATTAGGTCAACAGTCATTTCTTGGTGGCTTATGAAATCTGCTTAAATCTCTTCCTTAAACTTAGGAGGCATTTGTGATGGCATAAAAATTAAGGAGATTAATTCAAATGACTCAGAGTAGATCTAAATTGGTGCCTTAAAATGATCCCACCATATCAGAGTGGAAGCTTTAGACTTTATTAACCGAGCGCCACTAATACTGGCAAAATGGAAAAAAAATAAAAGAAAAATGATAATGAGATCTGTTACATCTTTCCGTGGTATAAGTTACTTTTAATACAGCGAATTCAGAAAAGTCATGACGTAATTCGTGCACTCGGCATAGGTTAGCCATAGTGTGGCAGATAGAATACATCTTTACAGACATCTGATATGTACTAAAAGGAAATGGAGAAAGCAAGACTAATCAAATCCATTATCTACATTATTTTTTGCCCGTCTCTTCGCGAGCCTCTACCGTCTTTCAGCATCTCCAAATTTGAAAAAAGGACTGGGTAACACTGGTCGATCGGTATGCAATTACCCCGGCTTGCATTCTTATCATTTCAAGGGAAATTAAAGGAGACGTTTTCTTCACGAGCTGAATCAACTCCCCTTAGTCTTAAAGAAACATCTGTGTCATCCTTTGGTCCAAATACCACAGGAATTGCGGTAGAGCTCCTTTTTTTCAGCCATGTCTTTACAGCGCTTTTGGCAGAAGCCTGGTTCAGGGGTCAAGTTTGTTATGCAATGCACATTAGGACTGTATGAGATGGTCTGATGTGGCCTCTCTGAGAACCCTCCCATCTAAGTAGAGTTGTAGCTGGAGCTCAGGATGAAGAGCAGATGTCTACCAATCGTAAGGTTGATGGTTTAGCTCCAGGATTCCCTGTTCCATATATCCAAGTGTCTTTGGGCAGGACACCTATAACTGTATCACCTGTAGGGACCATGACATGCTGTATGAATAGGACGTATTGTGTGGGTGAGAGAAAGAATATTGCATTTAGACTATGATCCCATTGTACCCTGAAGTCAAGTCAAGTAAAGTCAAGTCAAACTTTATTTATAGATACATTTAAATGAACCAAAGTTGCCAAAGTGCTGTACAGGTAAAAAATACACATAAAAAGGTAACATAATTTACATGTATATGCCATTTTAATGTAAAATAAAATAAATAAACAAATAAAAAGGTAAAAAGGTGCTCTACCTCAACCTAAGGTTAAAATGTTAAAAGCCATGTCAAATAAATGAGTCTTTAAAGAGGACTTAAACACCTCTATGGTCTGGGCAGATCTTATATTAAAAGGCAGGCCATTCCAGAGCTTTGGGGCGGCCAAACTCCATTTCTTGTCCAATCCAAATACATGGGACTCATATGTGATATCCAGTGAAAACTGCAAGCGAACCCAAAGGTGTCCCGCATGCGCAGTAGAAGAAGCAATAACATCAAATCCAGCAAGAGTGAACAGAGTTTGTGGTCCAGCTCTTCATGAACATGGACAGTTGACACAAAATGGCATTGGAGCTGGCAACGTTTATACCCACGTCTGGCCATTTTCTTGGGAAATGCTGACAAAAATAGCCCGATTCCGATAAGACCCCTGGAGTTTAGAGAAGATAGAACTACCCTACAAATGCTAATTAAGTCAGAAACAGCTTTCTGTCCAATGACTGTTCACCGCATTATTGTCCGCCGTGGTTCTTACGGATTGGGTCCAAGTATGGTTCATTTGCTATTTTGAAATTGAGCATGCGTCCAGAAACCAACAACCATGCTCACACTCACTCAAAAAGTCAATTTTTAAATGACCAATTGACATATGGGAAGAAGCTGAAGTACCAATGCAAACTTCACCCATGTGATAGGGTGAACCAGGAAGTAGGAAGTTGGGGGGGTGGAGCTTAGCTTTTAAAAGCCAGAGGGAGGCAAATTTGGGCCTTTCACTCAGTTACTCCACACGGGTGCAGATGGCAACTGGCAGCCATTACACTCGAGCTGTTAAGCCAAATCTGGGTTTGGTGCACAGACAAGAAGGTAAATAGATACAATATGTTTGTCACAAAAAGCAGTGCAGCCAATAATGACCACATCCTCTTAGGTCCAAGCAATAGTACCGGTCATCAGTCCTGAGAAAGTGTGTGCCCCACCTTACTTGATGAAACCTGCTGGCCTCTAGAACGAGGAGAGTTCTTTTGTTGGATGTTAATAAAGGTAACTTTTAAATAGTTAAGATAGTCATTTTAATGATTGTCATACTGAATGTGGAATGTTTGTATCTTTTAATGATGATTTGGATGCTTCCCTTGGTTAAAGTTTAGGCTGTACATTAGTTGTTTGGGCCTGTATAGACTTTGAATTTCACAAAAAATCTGACATGTGTGGTTGTTCGTCTATGTCTTTCGATGTTTGTGTAACCTTCCTCTCATCCATTGTGAGCCGGGATAGACGTCACTAACTAACTTCACATCTGAAAAATACAGATATGAACGCATACTAACTGACACTTCGTGGTTGGTCCGATGCATGTCCAGTATCACCTCCTATGTATATCCTGAGTCAAAATACTCTCGAATAGCAGAAGTAAGGTTTGGATCACGGAGAACATTCATGTTTTTAAAAAACACGTTAAAG